GGAGAACCAAATCAAGGGCAAAATCCCACCTAGCAGGGGCCTTCGATTCCTTCATCTTTGTTTGTTTCAAGACAGAGTCTCACTATGCAGCTCTGGCTGTCCTCACTATGTAGACCAGGCTAGACTTGAACTCACGGAGATCTGCTTGACTCTGCCTCCCAAGTGCTGGAATTAAAAGCGTGCACCACCACTGTCCAGCTTGATTCCATCATCTTTAAATTACTCATTTATGAAATAGATATGGCCTCTCATTCCCCAGGGGCTAGACACCCGGAGACACAGAGGACAGGATGATCATGGAGGCAACCTGGGCCTGGATCCCGGCTCCACCACTTGCTAGCAGAGGTAGACGACTCATAGGTAGACTCATAGGTAGACTTCCTGATATGTCAGTATGTAAACTGGATGTGATCATAGCTGTACCCGACTCCTGAGGTGGTATGCAGATGGTTCAAGATAATCTGCAGGGAGTCCCCAAGCACAGGAGCACTCAGTTATACAAAGACGAGAAAAGGACCGTCACTGTCCTACTCATGGCTCAGGTCCCCACTGCAGAGAGGGAAACCATCCAAAAGATTATGCCACAGGCCTTGTATCACATCTTTAGGGCTAGGGCAGGAAGCGAAGAAGAGGAGGCCTAGAGGAAGGAAGGTCAAGGGCACCGAAGGAGCAGGACGCCCTGAAATCAAGCCCTGTAGCTGCATGCCTCCCCTAGCACCCCAGAGTACACTTTTATTTATTTTTTAAACATTTCATCCTTTTACTCATTGGATATAGATTTTATTTTTAAATTATGTGTACACGCATGTGTCTGCGTGTAGGTACGTGCAGGTGTCCATGGAGTCTAGAAGAAGAGTGTTGGATTCTTTGAAGCTAATGTCACAGGCACGGGTTCTGGGAACTGAGGTAAGGCCTTCTGGAGGAGCAGCAAATGCTCTTAACCGAAGAGCCGGCTCGCCAGCACCGAATGCACATGTTTTTGACACCCAGACCCTGCGTTGGCCGTCTGCATCTATTACTGAATTCCTCCTCTGATGGAGGCGTTATTGTGCCCTTTGGCAGAGGAGGGGACAGATCTCCAGGGCCACACAAGGCAGTGGAAGCAGAGGGAGAGCCCACAAGTCTGGGTTCCTCCTCCTGCCCAGCCCTCCAGAGCTCCTGCCCCCCGTCACACATACCCACCTCCCGCACTTTGTGGTATCCTACCTTGAGGCTGACATCGTTGTTGCTGCCCTGATCCTGAGCAAGGTCAGGGCAGCTCTGGCCGCCCCAGGGCCTGGGGAGGAAGCACAGGGGCAAAGAATCAGCAGAATCCTGCTGTCACACCCACTGAGTCGAGCAGCCCTCGCCCACCAGGGCCTACAACTCTGCAGGATGAACCACTCAGACCTTTGGAGAAGGCCTACCAACAGCTTCCTCTGCTTCCTTCATCGCTTCCCCAACACACACACTCACACACACACACACACTCACACACACACTCACACTCTCACACAGATACACAGACACATACACGCACTCTCATAGACACATTCACACACTCACACACATGACACACAGACACACACTCATACACACTTTCACACACACACAGTTTCACATACTCAGACACATTCTCATACACAGCACATACTCACACACACATAAACAGACATGTACACTCCATACACACAGAGACACACACTCTCATACACACAGACACACACACTCTAAGACACACAGACACAGACACACAAACACAGACACACACTCCCATGCACACACACACTCACCCAACAAGAGAACAGTGCCTTGATGACTTTAGTGTTTCATGTTTACCAGGACCCTCTGGGTGCCAGGCTCAACCCTAGGGTCTGTGCCTATTTGTTAGGTCTCAGAAAACTATCAGTGCCTCTGTACTTCAGATAAGAAAAACAGGCCCGGAGAGTCCAAGTCACTTATTCCAGAGTACACAGCTAGCGAGCCTTAGAATAAGGTTGCCATGACTACCCTACTCAAAGCTTGATTAGATATTGCGTTAATGGGAGAAAGATTTAGAAGTGTGTTACCAAACCGTCGGCCCCTCTCCTGAGTAATCAGCAGGGATCTGAGGCCTGTGCCTCAGTTCAGGGTCCCATTCCCACGGCTGGTAAGAATGGGGTCCAATTGAATACCCAGTATGCATGTATCATCACGCTGGCCCTGCCTTCTTCTCCTGCCCTCCGCACTCCTGACTCACCGCACCCCAAGTCAGCCTCCTCGCTGAGTGTGGAGGAGTGTGGGGAGAACCTATCGGGCCTATAGGGCAGGTTTCTGCCAGACAGGGTAAGGGAAGGGTGTGTCTTCCAGGTGGGGGTGGGCAGAGCACAGGTAGGGTGTAGACACCCCAGGGCACTCAGGCTTCCAAGCACAAGGTGGCTGGGCCCTCCCTTCTGTAGGATGAGAGAGCAATACAAACCCCTCCCCTCTGCCCCACCACGCCCTCATCCCTCCTGGGCCAGGGCCTGAAGACAGCTGTGTCACGATAAGATCTAGACAAATTGCCCAGTAACTGCATAGACATATAAACACCCAACACCCAGTACTATCAGCACACCCACACACTCTGCTCACGCAGGGCCTGTGAGCTCCAGGGTCCTCTCGGATCTTCACTATCCCCTGGAAGCCCTCAGGCTCAGCCATCCACAGGGCAGGCTGTTCTGCACTCACACAACCTACCATGAAGGGCTCAGAGAGGCGAAGGAACTCACTCATGTTACTCAGCCAGCAGGCAACTATGGGTAGCAGCCTACCATGAGGGCTTTCCCATCTGGCCATCTCCGTAGCAACAGAGCTTTTGGAGAACTGAGTTCAGAAGTCAGCCAGCTAAGGCTTCACCTCTTCCCAACTGTGTGACTTTAGGTAGGTGACTTCACATCTCTGAAACTCTACTTCTGGATCTGAGTCACAGGGGATCCACACCTCACAGGACTGCTGGGAGGGTTGCTTCAGATCATTCAGGGAAAGCAGGAAGCAAGGGGCATGCATATAAAGGCTCATTTCCTGCAAGGGGCATGCATATAAAGGTTCATTTCCTGCAAGGGGCATGCATATAAAGGCTCATTGTGGGTACAGCCTAGAGCCATCTCCAGATTCCAGGATGACGGGGAAACCCATGTGTGGTGTCTGAGGGCAGTGCCAGAACCCGTCACACTCACAACAGAGGACCACAAAGGCCAGAGAAACATTGGCCTGTGACGTGAGAACCAAAGTCCACAGCAGATGGCCACAGCAGACAGAAGGAGGAGGTAACTGGGTAGAAAATCGTTGGCAAGCAGCTTGCCTGACAGGAAGTTCCAAAAAATAAAAATAAAAAAGGCACAAGGGCAGTCCAATGTAATGGAGCATATTTGTAAATCCTAGCACTTGGGAGATTGCTCAGGGGGATTGTTACAAGTTTGAAGCCAGAGCTGCTCTATACACAATTCATTACATGAGGATACCTTATCTTCTAAAAAGGAAAATTAAAAAGTCCACGGAGAAATTCCACAGTTCACAGACCCAAATCATAGCACATTGTCACGTATATTTCTGTGCTCTAAGATACTCGCGTGCTGATTTGAACTCCCGTTAAATTTTTATACACACTAATCCCAGACGCATATCCCTAAGCCAGGGACGCCCCACCCAGCCTTTCTCCATCTCCCCTCACCTATCCGGGAGTCTGGCCTCCTTTGAGATCTTGCCCCTGCGCTCCCTTCGGCCCCCTAGTCCAGTCAAGAGCCGGGCTAGGCGAGCCCCGAAGCCCCTGCGCGGCTCTCTCATGGCGAGATCGAGGTCTGGGGCTTGAGCCGGCGGGGCGCTTGGCTGCAGGTGCCACCCGGATCCGCTGTCCAAGCAGAGAAGCGCCTCCTCCGGCCCGTCCCCCTGAGCAAACAGCAGCCTCGCTCGCATGGGCCGCGGGCGGGGACCTGATCCATATGTTGTCCGTGCCCTGGGCCTGCAGATGCACCTTCAGAGGATCACGCTCACCCCAGGTCTCAGTCCAGATCACTCCCACACAGACCTCCCCCTCCCGAGCTCCTGCTCTCTGTTCCGTCCGCCCTGCAACTTCACGCCTCTGGGGATGTCGGAGGTGGATTTGTGTGAGCACTCGGGGAGCTAGACCTGAGCAAAGACAAAAGGAGTCTGGGACCCGTTGGTGCCGGGGAGCTGGACTGAGCTTAGGAAGGTCTGGGAGTTGCTACTGCACTGGAGCGGAGCGCGGACAGGAAGCGGGTAGACTCCTGCTAATTAGGAGGGGCCTCGTCCGAGGGGTTGGCGTCCCCGCTCCCCAAAGGTGTGACAAAGGTGAGCGGAACTCGAACCTTTGTTGCCGGCGCGGCCGAAGCCCACCTTGCCATCGCTTGAGGGACTCCCTAGGAGGGTTCTCTCTGTCTTGGAGCCACCTACCACGTGGAGTAGGATTGTCACTTCTTATGGAGATGAGGAAGCCACACGAAACCAACAGAGGCGGGACTGGCGCCCTCTGCCGCAAGTCGGCCAAAGGAACCTCACAGTGGCTAAAAATGAGTCATTAATCGCAGCCTTCCTTTATGGTGGCTCTAACCTGATCCTCCTCGGCAGTTCGCTTTCCCACCTTACGCCGCCTGGCTCACGCGTGGAGGAAAGGGTACACTTTGCACATCTAAGGGGATCCCCTGGAGATGGGCCATCGGTAGGGTTGTTACCCCACTCTTTCGCCGGTTCTTCCCTGTCTGTAGTCCTAACTGGCTGGATACCCCATTGCCCCTCTGGTCCCAGTACACACGGGACATCATGATTCTGGGTCACGAGAGGACAGGAATGTCTGTGTCTTTTCTCACCCCCATCCCGTGGAGATGGCAGGTAATACCAGCTGACCTCTCTCCCTTGGCTGAGTAGGAACTGAGTTAGAAAGTGGCAGGCAGGACCCAGGGACAATGGGAAAGGTGTTGGGTGAGGTGTTCAGGAAGGAGGGCAGCGTGTCCCGTGCTTGGGCTGCACACAAATCAATTCTTGCTTCATTCTCCGGTGACTTCCAGGTGCTCTTTGTCCATCAGACCTGGCAATTAAGTGGTTGATAATAATCTAATGGTTGCAAGTCCTCTTGCCTCTGAGGACACTGCCTTCATCCAGTCCTGAAAGGCAGCACTGTCCATTGGTGAGTTGAGATGGAGAGCTCAGTCCCAGACAGGTCACAGACAGGGAGTGGAACCCAAACCCGGCCTGAGGAAGATGCTGCATGTACCCACCCCACAGGGGCTGTGTGCCCTGCCCTGCTCCCAGGTGAGGGATGGGATCTGGCAGGGTGCATGGAGACATTCCCCTCCACCAGAGATGCTCAGGGGGCCTTGACTCAGCACTGAGAGAATCTTTTAATTGCCAACACTCCGTTCCCAGAGAAACCCGTGCACCACTGCTCAGCCCGGCTGCCCTTGCCTTCCCCGGGACACTGGGGACACCTTGACCTTGCCCACATCCCAGCCCATCTTCTCTGATGATGCTGCCACAAGATCTAGTGCTCCTTGGTGCCACTGGGTAAGGCAGGTGAGAGAGGCGAGGGGCAGGTGGGGGTGGGCCAGGGCCCGAGGAGCTTGCTGCCTATGGTGCAGCTTCAGGTGGACATGCGGAGTGAAGTGACCGGAACAGATGCTCCACTGAAGCGGCTGGGCACCCGAGTGCTGGCGAAGGTGGCTCTTGAGGTTGCTGGAGCTGCTGAAGCGTCTGTGGCATATCTGAGAGCGATGGGCACTCACGTCATCCCTGCCCTCCAGCCGGCTCAGGGCCTCCCTCCCCACCCCCACCCATCCTGGACACACCTCCCCTAACCCACTTCCCTGTCAACGCAGATCAGAAGCTTTTCTGACTGTTTCTCCCTGGGACCCACGACAGGGCACATTAGAGCCTGGCAGGCTGAGGCTGGCATTCTCCTTTTGTTCCCGTGTGACTTTGCGTGAGTGACTTCCCTCTGAGTTTCTTTCTCTGTCAGTACTAGATGAGCACTGATTCCTAACCTCATTAGTTAGGGAAGACCAAATAAGGCTAGTCACTTAGGAACCTGATGCCAGGGGCTGCAGCGTCAGTGGGTGTGGTCAGCATTTACTGGGGAGCTGGTCAAGCCAGGAACTGACCTTGCATAGTCTTCCCAAGAAGCATGACTAAACTAAACGCCAGGGAGAGAGCAGAGGCTCAGAGGAAGGAAGCCTCTAGCCAACGGCCAGCCACACAAGTTGGGGGGAGAAGCTAGGATTTGAACAGCGGTCTGACTTAGTCGCTTAGACTCAGAACCACTACACTGCTCTCATTTCTGCCCCTGTAAAAGGAAGAGTGTCCCCCCACCGCCTCTGCCCTCCCCAAGAATGAGGGCAGACTCAAGGAGCTGCACTGAGCCAATTGTTTGCCTATTTAGATTCTTTGCATGTGCTATGGCTCCTTCAACAACCCAGGGAGGCCGGGAAGGGTGTGCATGCTCCAAGATCTTCAACTTCAGTATTCTCCATGCACAGACGTGCCGCTGTATTTTCTCCTTCAACACCACACATTCTAGTGGCCCGCCCCGTGCTCAAGTATGTACACAGACGGACACACAGACACACACAAGCTCTCTACCCTCTCCTCTCCATCTTTACTTACTCGGGATTGGGAAACAGAGGCCCAGGTGCCATCCCTCCAGGGACCTAGAACTCCTCACCCAGCTCCAAGTATGCCTGTGAGGGGGAAAAGGGTCTCACCCGGCACTGGTGGGGCCGCTCTCCGGTGTGTACCAGGTGATGCTTCTGCAGGTGGGCCAGCTGGGTAAAGCTCTTCTGACACAGGGCACACTGAAATGGACGCTCCCCACTGTGTACACGCAGGTGGACCTAGAAGAAATAGTGCCAGCTGCCGAGAACATCTAACAGGGCTCAGAGTCCACTCCAAATCTCCGCCCACACCCTCTGCGGGATCCTTTGCTGGCATCCAGGCCTTTCTATCACCTCCCCCAGACACTACCAATACCCAGGACACTCTCATTATTTGGTCTGCCCTGTAGCAGAGATTCAGGAAGATAGATAAGGGGTACCCCAGATATCCCCTAGAATAGCTACTTAAAGTACAATTTATAGACCAGCAGCTTTGGTATGACCTTGGGAGCATATTAAAAATGCAGTCTATGGGCTGGAGAGATGGCTCAGTGGTTAAGAGCACCAACTGCTCTTCCAGAGGACCTGGGTTCAATTCCCAGCACCTACATGGCCGCTCACTACTGCCTGTAATTCCAGTTCCAGGGGACCTAACACCTATGGCAAAACACGGATGCATATAAAATAAATAAATTTTTAAAAATGCAGAGTCTAGACGAGCTGAGGCTGGAGCTCGGGAATCTGCAGGTTTTGTTAGCTCTCTGAGTGGTTTGAGGTTTGTTAAGGCTTAGAGGATCCAGTACAGCTGTTTCCCCAGTAACCGTAACCTGCACACAGCTTGTGGTCTTGGCTAACAGTGAGGGCCCCCGTGGCCATCCCCTGCTGGATGATGTACATGATCACACCTACAGCACCAGGCCTGATTTGTGGGATCCCACTTGAAAAAGGTTGTTTGTAAGACTGTGGTCTCGAGTCTCCAAAACCTAGCCATTCCCCCTTTTTGATCTTCAGAAGTAAGGAGGAGGCTTAGCTGGGGACCCAGAGAGGATGCTGTCTGGGAAAGAACTTAACAGTTGATGACAAGAGACTGAAATACAAGCTCAAACCCACTAATCAATTGCGGTTACCTTGGATTCCTGTCTGCTAGGGGCCTCGATGTCCTGTTCTAACTTGAATAAAGTGATCTCACAGACAATCTTTCCGGATGGAGGAGACTTTGAGGTGCACACACCCACCCTTTATTTTTTGAGAAGGACCTCCCTATGTAACCCTGGCTGTCCTGGAACTTGATATGTAGACCAGGCTGGCCTCCAACCCACTGAGATCTGCTTGCCTCTGCCTCCTAGGTGCTAGGATTAAAAGCTGCCATACCTGTTTTTTTAATTTTTATTTTTATTTTTAGATGGTGTGGTAGTTTGAGTGAAAACAGCACTATAGAGCCTGGCTGTGGTGACTCATACCAGGACTTGAGAGGCAGAGGCAGGTGGATTTCTGAGTTCAAGGCCAGCCTGGTCTACAGAGGGAGTTCCAGGACATCTAGGGCTACACAGAGAAACCCTGTCTCAAAAAACAAAACAAAGAAAGAAAGAAAAAGGAAACGGCTCCATAGGCTCATGGAGAGTGGCACTATTAGGAGGCGTGGCCTTGCTGGAGTGGGTGTGGGTTTGATGGAGGGCTTGTATCATTGGGGGCAGGCTTGGAGGTCTCAGAAGTTCAAGCCTAACCAGTGGCTCACTGTCTCTTCCTGCTGCCCGTGGATCCAGATCCAGATCCAGAACTTTCAGCTCGCTCTCCAGTGCTATGTCTGCCTGCATGTCACTGTGTTTCCCGAATAATGGACTAAACTACTGAACTGTGGGCCAGCCGCAGTTAAATGCTTTCCTTTATAAGAGTCACTGTGGTTGGCCGGGTGGTGGTGGCGCACGCCTTTAGTCCTAGCACTCGGGAGACAGAGCCAGGCGGATCTCTGCGAGTTCGAGGCCAGCCTGGGCTACTAAGTGAGTTCCAGGAGAGGCGCAAAGCTACCCTGTCTCGAAAAACCAAAAAAAAAAAAAAAAAAAAAAAAGGTCACTGTGGTCATGTGTCTCTTCACAGTGACAGAACCCTAAGACAGGTGTAGTCTCATTAGCCCAAACTGGCCTTGGACTTCTGTTGTCATCCTCCGGCCTCAGTCTCCTGAATGACAGAACCAAAAGTATGCACCACCAAACCCAGCTTGTCCTGTATTTCTACCTGGGTGAGCCTCAAGGCCACTTGGCCCTAGGAGATGCCCAGGAGTGGCTTCCAGGTTTTAGGACTTGATTCTAGAAGCAAGGGGAAAGGCAAGAGACTCATTAGAAGATTGGAGGGGATAGCAGGACCCAGAGCGCTGATACCTTCAGGTTGGAGAGCTGCCCAAAGTTCTTGCCACACACATTGCACTCATATAGGATTTTACCATTCTCTTTCTTCAGAGGGTAGGGCAGGGCTAGAACACCAGCCTGGGAGCCTGGCCGCTTTGCAGGAGCTGCCACACCAGCCTGTCCTGGGGAGAAGGATGAGGTATCTCTAAAGCTCTGACTCCTGACCTGGGAGTGCAGGGTGTGTCCAGCACTCTGGGAAGCCCCTGAGGTGAGAAGCGGGGGCTTCTCCTGGGTGATATGGGGTCCAGCACCATTGGCTGTCGTAAGCAAGCTGGATGTGGCCATGGTGGTGTACGAGGTGTCTGGGGACAGCATGAGGAGTTGCGGACACTGGACAGAGGGTGGGGCCCCATAAGTGAATAGGTAAGGGGGAGGCAAGAGAAGTGGGTACCCAGGGAAGACTGGGTAGATGTGGAGAGGGAGTTCCTTGGAGACGACAGTGGGGGGAAGCCAGGGCCAGAAGGTCAAGGGACTAGGGCTCTTCCTGTCCAGCCTGACGTCTGGGGAGGGGCTGCTGTGAGGAGGGAGGGGGAGGCAGAAGCCTCTTTCTGGCTGGTTTCCCATCTCTTCTCTGTTCACCGAGTCCTTGGTTGTCAGTTTCTCATTATCCATAGAGTCTTCGTGCAGGCCTGGTGGCCGGTGCTCTGAATCAGAAAGGAAGATGATCAGGTCCCCCACAGTCTGGACTGAACATCTGGCCCCTCTTAAGCCTGCCCGGTTCAGAGTTGGGAAAGAACTTGCAAGACGATGAGGCAACTTGGGCTGGGCACTTCCCTCTGCCTCTGAGACTCAGTTTCCCCTCCACTACTAAGCCTGTAATAAAAGCTACCAGTGTGCAGGGAACACCTGACAATTTAAGGGAGAAAAAACTGTATAAGCAGTTTACTAGACATCAGAGAGAAGGGTCATGTGCACAGCCCACTAGACATGGGGAGTAGAGGTCATGTGCACAGCCCACTAGACATGGGGAGTAGAGGTCAGGTGTAGACAGATGAAATGAAGTTTAAGGTAGAGGTCCCAGATTATATATATAAATTTGGGTGCCACGGGTCAAGAGGAGGTCACACAAGGGTTGCAAGGGGCAGCTGCTGAACACATAACTAAATTTGCATTAAAGTAACTTTAGTAAAATATTCAGTTCTTCATTGGGCATAGTGGTACATGCCTATTATAACAGAACTTAGGATATCGAGGCAGGAGAATCAGGAATTCAAAGTCATCCTTGGCTGCACAGTAAGTATGAGGCCAGCTTGGGCTACATGGGACCCTGTGTCAATAAAAGTGAACAAAAAAAAATTTTAAATAACAGGGACCCCAAAATGGCTCAGCAGGAAAAGGTGCTCCCAACCCTGACGACCTGAGTTCAAGCTCCCAAACCCACAGGGTAGAAGGAGAGAACTAACCCTGCACGCCGTCCTCTGACCTCCACATGTACACCATGTGCACACACACACACACACACACACACACACACACACACACAGTCTCACTGTACAGCCTTGCCTGGCCTGGAACTCACAGAGATTTGTCTGTCTCTGCTTCCTGAGTGCTAGAATTAAAGGTGTGCACCACCTTGCTCTGCTACTAAATTAAAAAAAAAAAAATGTTTAATGTAATAAAAGATTAAACAAAACCAAACACACAAATTTAGTTTTTTAGTTGTACTAGTACTAGCCACATGTAAGGTACCCAGAAACACACACCTGTAAACCCAGCTGGCCTGGTAGCACACACCTGTGACCCCAGCTGGTCTGGTAGCACACACCTGTGTCCCCAGCTGGCCTGGTAGCACACACCTGTGACCCCAGCTGGCCTGGTAGCACACACCTGTGTCCCCAGCTGGCCTGGTAGCACACACCTGTGACCCAAGCTGGTCTGGTAGCACACACCTGTGTCCCCAGCTGGTCTGGTAACACATACCTGTGAACCCAGCTGGCCTGGTAGCACACACCTGTAACCCCAGCACTCAGGAGGAGGAAGCAGGAGGAGCATGAGTTCAAAGTCAGCCTGAGTGATACAGTGAGGAAAAAAAGCCACCAGGCATTGACCAGCAGGGTATGGAATATCCACGTTGTTGCATGAACGTCCGTTGAACAGTACTACTCCAGATAAAGAGAACAGGACTGGAGAAAGGAGAAAGCAGAGGATGTGAGTGAAGAAGGCAGGAGATGAGGAAAAGGAAGATGAGGAAGGGATGGAGGACACAACGGGAAGACTGGGGACAAGAAAAAGAGAGGACATGGGGTAGAGGAGACAGTTGAAGACCGACTGTGAGCTGTGAAAACATTTCGGGGTAAGAACAGGACCAGGCATGAAAAGAGCACAGCCAGGGCAGGGCAGCGGCAGGGTGGGTAAGGCTAGGATGATAAATATTTAAATACTAGGCCTGGGGCTTGGGTCATAGCTCAGCGGTAGAGTGCTTACCCAGCATGTGGGAGACTCTGGGTTCTATCCCCAGCATGGGGTGAGGGGGAATAATACCAAAAGGGGGATTTGATTACCTGCTTGGACCCCCATTTATATCCTCAATCAAAAACTCTTTTTTGAAACAGGATCTCTCTGTTATGTAACCCTGACTTTACTGGGACTTGCTGTGTAGACCAGGCTAGTCTCCAGATCAGAGATCCACCTGCATCTGCCTCCTGAGTGCTGGGATTAAAGGTGTGCACCACCAGACCTGGCTCCCTCAATCAGGTTTTGTTGTTGTTGTTGTTTTTGGTTTTGGTTTTGGTTTTATGAGACAAGGTTTCTCTGTATAGTTTTGATGCCTGTCCTGAATCTCACTCTATAGACCAGGCTGGCCTCGAACTCACAGTGATCCACCTGGCTCTGCCTCCCGAGTGCTGGGATTAAAGGTGTGCATCACCACCGCCCGGCCTCCCTCAATCAGTTTTTTTTAAAAAAATAATTTATTTAACTTTATTTTATGTTCATTAGTGTGAAGGTGTTAGTTCCCCTGGAACTGGAGTTACAGACAGTTGTAAACTGCCATGTGGTGCTGGGATTTGAACCTGGGTCCTCTGGAAGAACAGCCAATGCTCCTAACCACTGAGCCATCTCTCCAGCTCCCCTCAATCAGTTTTTTTTTTTTTTTGGTTTTTTTTTTTTTTTTTTTTTTTGGTTTTTTTCGAGACAGGGTTTCTCTGTGTAGCTTTGCGCCTTTTCCTGGAACTCACTTGGTAGCCCAGGCTGGCCTCGAACTCACAGAGATCCGCCTGGCTCTGCCTCCCGAGTGCTGGGATTAAAGGCGTGCGCCACCACCGCCCGGCCCCTCAATCAGTTTTAAGGTGCTGTTTCACTCTGTGTTCTGTGCTAGGGTTCTGCTGGGGCCCCAAAAGTAAAAGACAGAGCAGGTCAGTCCCTGTCCTCCAGGCGGTCTCAGAGTATTCCCACACAACAAACCTGGAAGAGGTCTAAAAAGACCCTGCCTCTGTAGACAAGCAAACTCGTGGAGGCGCCTAAAGCCGGGGAACTAGAAAGGGCAGAGGCAGAACTCAGGCCCAGCTGTGCGCCCCGTCCAGTGCTCCTGTCACCCATCTTAAGAGACTTGCTCAGCCAGGTGTGATGGTGCACGCCTTTAGTCCAGCGCTCAGGAGACAGAGGCAGACGGATCTCTGTGAGTTCGAGGCCAGCCTGGTCTACAGAGTGAGTTCTAGGACAGCCAGGGCTACACACAGAAACCCTGTCTTGAAAAACAAACAAGCAAGCAAACAAAAGACTTGAGCAGTGAGTAAGAGTACCTCCTGCACAAGATGGAGAATTGAATTCAAATCCTCAGGCCAACTTCTGCCCACCCCACCCTCCAAAAAATCCCAGCACCAATATAAAAGGCCCTTCATGGCCGTGTGCAGGATCACTGGGGTTTGCTGGCCAGCCTACCTTCAGGTTCAGTGAGAGACCCTGGCTCAAGGGACTAAGGCGAGAGTCAGAGGGTAGGATTGTGGACGTCCTCCTCTGGTCTCTACATGGGTATGTGTCGTACAATTACATACACACGTGCACACACACACCACATACACATGCACATGCAAAAATTAATCGGCAAAAATGCACATTTATATTGAAGAATGTAGACAGAAAGGCTCAGTGGAGGAGGCACTCGCTACCCAGTCTGGCAACATGATTTTGATTCCCAGGATCCATAAGGTAGAAGGAGAGAACTGACTTCTGTAAGCTGTCCTCTGCGCATGCCTGTACACTAAATAAATGCAAAAAGAATTAAAGCCTGCTCTAGCCCAAACATTCTAGGCCAACAGTTACCCCCACCCTGATGATCGACTACACCAGCTGCTACACTGCTGTCTTGAAAGGCCACAGACAACTCTGGCCAGAACCCCAACACTAAATGTGGCAGGAAAGTGTGCCTGAGACTCTATTCTCATCCCCATCCCAAAACCCATGTCCCTTTCAACCCACCAACAGAGCTCTGAGGTCCAGCCTCAGGCCCCAGACTCACTCATGTTTGAGGCATCCTCTCTGAGATCCTGTGGGGTCATGCTCAGGAGTGTCTTCTGCAGGGCATAAGGATACAGGTCTGAGCCTTGTGGGCAGTCCGGCAAGGAAGATTTAGCTGGTACCAGTGGCAAGGGACACATCCAGTTGGCCCAGGACAGGTCGTGAGTAGCCATTGTGTCTGGAAATGGCTGAGAAGTATCAGGCGAGAAGACCTGGGAAGCAGGGACAAGGCCTGAGGGCCCAGGACTTGGGAGCCTCCTGCACAGACACCCCAGCTTGGTTTTTAAAGGGAAGAAGCTCAGCCATGGATACCCACTCACCATATCTTTCATTCAAATGGCTCCCCTTCCCTCCTCCAAAGGTTTCCTTCTCCAAGGGCTTTTTTTTTTCATTGACCTTAGACTGTCCCCTCTTCCCTACATAACTTGCCCCGTTCTCCCTCCGCACCCCCACTCCCGATTGCCCTGGTGTTCCTCTGTTGTGTTGGTTCTGAATGGGACCAGAGTGAACTTGGGGGAAAATCCTCATCCAAGACTGCAGAGGCCACAGAATGGTTCTGAGCCCCCACTAAAGTTCAAGGCCATGGTCATCCACACGTTCTGTGTGGCCTTTCCCTCTTCTTGCCGATAGGACAATCTGAGCCCCTAGAGCGTGTCCACTCTGGAATCTCTGCCTGGAGCAGAAAGGTGAGGGCTTAGCCCATTCAGGCTTTCACCCTTCCTCTTAATTTGGCAGACATGCTCAGAGAGAAGGGCATGTCCCACCCTAGCTGGTCATCTAGACAGAGCTGAAAGCCCAAGCTGGGGGACAGGGAGTATCCCGAACCACCCAGAAGTCTTGTGGTAACCACCCAACTGGGCAGTTGGTTTTCCCTTCATGTTCCCACTCCCAGATGGGGAGAATGGGTGAGTCAGGTGAGCTGTGAGGCACACTCACTGAGATGAGGCTGTGTGCAGGTCACTCTCTTCCTGGCCTCAGTGTCTCTCTATGAGAAATGAAGGGCAAAGGACAAGAGATGGAGTCCTTTGTGCATGCCTCGCCTGTGTGAGGCCTTGGGTTCGATCCCCAGCAACGCCTAAGCTGGGCATAGTGGAGAACACTAATTCCAGCACTCGGGAGGTGGAAGAGGAAGAGTCGGGACTGTAAGGTCATCCATGGCTACACAGAGCGGTCAAGGCTGTGTGAGACCTTGTCCCAAAAATAGTAAAGAGAAATGGATATGGTCACAGTTAACGTGTGACAGCTGTCTTAGTCCTGACATCTGGAAGCCAATGACACTTCCCTGGAAGGTACAGAAAGGATATTAAAGGAAGAGCAAAGTCCTTATGGGGGTTCTGAGGGAACATTCCAGATTCCTCGAGGCCATCGGGAATTGAGGAGCCTGACTTTTCCATAGAGAACAGGACCACAGCAACCAGAGGCTCCTACCATCCAGGCACACCCAGGAGCTTTTCTGGGAAACACCAGAGTCTTGTGAACCTTAGTTGTTTCAGGTCAACTCCCTCAGCAGCGGTGAGGCCCTAGAAAGGAGAGGCCCCAGGTGCCCCCTGACAAGAAGATCTCCCAGTGCTCGGCTGGCTGCCAATCAGCACCCTGCTGCTCTGCCGTCTTCTTCTGAGGCCACACAATACAGAGGTCAACTTAGCCAGGCGACTGGCACCTCACCCCTCCCGTCCTAAGTAGCCCCAAATGCCCCTCAGACTCCAAAACCCTCAACCCAGGGTCTCAGCCCCGCAATACCCTCCTCTTTCCCTCTCCCCAGCCCTGCCTTAGGTCTCAAATACCATGGCCTGGAAGGCACCAGCTGGCCATGTGAGCTCTTCACCTGGTCCTACAGCAGTCCTCTCTGGCTGGGAAGGAAGGAGGTTGGGCAGGCGGGCAGGCGGGCAGGCGGGCAGACGGTGCCTGTGTCTGAGCCACCCGGGGGTGTGAGAGAAGACAGGAAGACGTAATGCGTTTGAAGTTGCCTTAAATAG